GGCGCCGGAGAGTGCGCATGCGCGGGATGGCGCGGGCGGAGGTGGGCGCGGAGCCACGTCGGCCGCGGGGCCTTCGGAGCCGTCCCCGGGCTTCCGGAGCGCGCCTGACACCTGTCCGCTTCCTCGCTGGGCCCACCCCTCCCACTCACCCCTCCCACTCACCCCTCAATCCCGGACCCACACCCAATAGCCCACTTTCCCGCCGACTTCCCCACGTGATCCCCCCACTTCCGCGGTCCCCCGGGTTCGTGTCTGAGACTCCTGTTCCCCCGGTGTCCCAGCAGTCCTGGAAAAATGTTTATTTGTTTAACAAAGCGCCGGCTAGGGGGCTGGGGGCGGGGCAGGGGCTCCTCCTCCTCGGGGTTACTTTTTCTTCTTCTTGGCCACCTTGAGCCTCCCCTCGATCAGCCGCTGGGCCTGCCGCTTGATCTCGGCCCGCGAGGGGACGTAGCTGTGGTCCACGTCTGCGAACTGGAAGGTTTCTAGAAAGGAGCGCGAGGAGGAGGGGAGCCGCGCCCTGCGGCGCCTCTGCTCCAGCGAGCTTGCTTCCACTCTGCTCTGTCTGTTGGCCTGCATTCATCCCAGGGCCAGGTACTAGCTACTTTTTCTTATTTTCTCTATTCCTGGTGCCCTGGCATTTGGGGTCTTACACGCTCGGGGAGAGGCTGCCACTCGTAGGGCTAGCCAGTTCTTAGAGGGGGCAGAAGGCTGGCCGCTGGGAGCCGTCTCTCTTGCACACCAACCCGTCCAGAGCCCACACCCGCGACCCCCTGCTTTATCAAACCCTCACATCAAGCCAATATTCCCCCGCCTAAATCAACCCAGGGCCAGGCACCAGGCAACTGGGAACAGCCCTACACCCCAAGCCCACCAGAATTGTTCAAAAACCCCATCTGAAGCTGTTTGCCCTGTCCTCCACCCCCCCTTTCCTACAGAAACCCCAAGAAAGGCCTAGGCCATTCCCTCGCTCCTCTCTGACTCCTCGAAGGCAGTGATGCTCCCATATGTCAGGAAATGTAACAAATTCTCCTTCCGATGGCATTAGCCTCTCCGTGTCCAAACTAAGTCACCTCCCTGAATTAAAATCCCATGGGAATGGGGGATGCACCCTCTTTGTCCCTGTAGTGCCCCTGTGCCTCCAGGCTGTCCTGGTCAGACGGAGCCATCTGCCACTCCTCCCCTCCCTGTGGCTGTGTGGCCTGGCCCCCAGCCCCGAGCCTGTACCTATCATATCCTCCTCCGGGTCCTCAAAGCTGATCCTGGTGTTCTGCTTCTCCTTCAGAGTCGAGGTCTCCAGGGTATCCCTCACCTTTGTGTCCACCTGCAGGGCACAGGGGACTGTCAGTCCAAGGGAACGTGGGATGCGTGGGCACGCCCAGCCTCCAACTACCTCCTCGCTGCTGGACAGCATCTGCACTCTGTCAGCCAGGTACAGGAGCTTTGCTTCGCAGTACGCCAGCTTGCCAAACACGTCGAGGCTGTCAGAGAGCGCCACTTCTTTCTGTAGGCCGGGACAAGGATCCCGTCTCTCCTCTGGCTTCTCCCAGGGACTCTGTGCAGGCGGCTCCCCCCCACCGCATCTGCTACCTGGGCTGTGGGCAGGGCAATGCCAATCAGCCGGATGAAGAGGTTGTCAATGCCTATCTGGATGGTCAACAGCAGTTTCTGGCTCTTGGTCATGCTGGAGTAGGCCAGCTGCAGTCTGTCTTCCTCCTCTCTCAGCATGTCCTTCATTCTCTTCTCCACGGACTTGAAGCTGTTGGGGAGGATGGTGGCACAGATTCCGGGCCAAGGCAGCCTGAGCCCTGAGCTGAGTGCTGTGCTAAATTAAGGAGCTCCAGAGTTCAGATAGCTCAGGTGTGAGCATGTGGCACCCCTTGACTGGGCCCCTCCACCCCACCTGCCAGGTACCCGCAAGCTTGTTGGCAGTGGACACTCTCAGCTTGAGCTGGGCCCCAGCCCACACGGGCTGTTCATGAGGATCAGTCGGGGGGGCCCCTGTGGAAGGCAGAGGCCTGGAGGGTACCTAACGGAGCTGGGCGTCTCACGGAACTTGAGCATTGCCTCCTCCATTTCCAGCTTCTTCATCAAAGCCTCCAGCTTCGCCCGCCGCTCCTCGCAGTCCTCCATCTGCAGCTCCAGGTTCTCCTCGGTGTTCCTCTGAGCCAGGAACCGGCCAGCGATGTCCTGGTGGGGCCAGTGTGGGGAGAAGCAGAACTGGTTTCTTCTGGGTCCCTCCCCATGGTCAGGAATGATGCTGTGGCCAGGCACTGGGCGAAGCACTTTAGGTGAGTCAGTGCATGTGACCCACACGACAAGCAGAGAGGGCAGACAGCCCAAGGCAGAGACGAGGAGACCACCCCTGAAAGACTGCCTCACTTTGAGCCACTTGTCCGAGGATGGACAAGCTTATGTCAGGGCTGAGGATGGGAGCTAAGGCTTACTAATAATAAACCCAGATCGGATTAAACACAAGGGCCAGGCAGAGGCGGCCTCTCATTGTGGTCTTAGGGGTTTGGGAAGGGACAGAGTTGTAGGTGGCAGTCTCAGCACTTGGGTCCTCGAATCCCAGCAGGCTCGTGCAGCCCCTGGAATGTGACTTGGATATGCTAGAGTGCTTTCTACTTTCAGCCGTGGGGGCTGCAGCTCTGTGTCCCTTCATTCAGCAGGCTCAGCCGGGCCTTGGGCTGGGGAAGGGGCTCCCTGCCTTCCCCCACCCCTAGGAGAGCCAGGGAGCAGTACCCAGAGGTGGGAGCACCGCACAGCTGTCTTCACTTTCTCCACCAAAGCAGTCACATCTGTCTGGTATTCGATGTCCGCCTTGGAGGTCTCTCTTTTCCTCACTGGGCAGAGCAGAGGGGAAGGGGGCCAGCATGCAGGGACGGCGTGGGAGCTCTGCTCGAGGCCACCAGACACCTCTGTGCCTGCCCAGGCATCAGGGGAGACTACCAGAGAACTGGGCAGGTACCCATCAGAGCTACCTGCACTTTTACCTGGCCTGTCCGGGATGCCCCAGGGCAGCTCCATCCAGAAGCAGCCCGGCATGGGGCCTTTATGGCCCTTCTCAGAGGCAGCCCAAGGGTCTAGGGGGCCGGACTTAACTCTTCTGAGGAATCACTGGGTGATCCAGCCCTGGGGTGACAGGGAACAGCAGAGAAGCTGGGGGCTTGGCCACACTCGGCAGCGAGCCCAAGGATGTGGGCTGTGGCTGTTGGCACTGAGCCTCTGCAGGTAGAGCTGGGGAGGGGCAGGTGTCTCCCTCACCCTGGCCCCTGCAGGTTGCACCTGGCCTCACAGAGACCTGACTGGGTGGCCTGTGCCGTGCTGGCCTCCTGGACCCTGGCTGGGGGCGGCAGAGAGCTGAGTGCTCACCTTTCACAGTTTCTGTACCCATCAGGTTGGAGGGGAAGTCCAAGTCCCGCCGGCCCTGGTAGGAAAGGGAGGACGAAGTGAGCAGCACCCTCTGCTGCGGAGCGGGCCACCCAACGTTCCTTGCGCTGCAGTGGGGGTCCTGCAGGGACTTACCCGGCGATACTTCTCGTTGGTCTCCTTCGTGTGGATCTTGTCAATCAGCTTCTTCTGCTGGTTGAGCCGGTTCTCCCGAGCCTTGCGTTCCTCGATGAAAGTCGCCTCCCCTCGCCGCATGTTCATCTGGGGACGCAGGAGGTGGGGCGCGGTAATGTCTCACCGAGGCCCCCGTGGTGCTAAATGCAGCATTCAGTTTCAGTCCCCATCTTCTAGATTTGGGAATAGCATTGGAGGCTCTTGGCTGCGCCCTTCTTCCTAAACTGCGCCTGCCTGCTGGCTTTCACCATCCTTCCTGCTTTCCGCCCTCCTCTCTGGACTCCTCCTCCCACGCTGGGCCTCTGAGGGGTGCCGCCTTCCCCTGCCCCTCCTCTGCTGGAGTTGCCCACCCCAGCTGCAGCCAGGGCTCGGGGACCCCATGTCTCTTTGTAGCCTGGGCTCCCCGCTGCCTCGGCCGGCTCAACGGGGAGTGATTCCATGTGTCTAAAAAGGAACCTGACATCTTCCCCCAGACCTGGTCTCTTCCCCAGTGTCCTGCTTTGGTGGCTAAACCCATCATCCATCCGCACCTGGCTATGCTTCCTGGACGCTGCTCTCCCCCTCCTTGTCCACATCTGACTCGGCGCCAGACCCCTTTGGGTGACCTTTAGAGACTTCTGGGCCCCATTGATGTTCAGGTACCCAGTGCTACCACTGGTCTGTCCCAGGTGACCAGTGTCTGGACTCTGGTTCCCTTGGGTCTCTGCAGCCAGAGCATGCCTGTTTTTGAAATGCAGATCTGATCCCACTGCCCCTATGTCTCCTCCCAGAGCTTCAGGTTGGGTGGGGGGCCAGGACCTAAGCCCCAACCACCCTGCTTCCTCCACTGGCTCACAGGCTCCATTCCTGTGCATTTCTGCTCCAGCCACTTGCACCTCCTTTGGCCTGGTTATGCCCCAGGACCTTTGTTGTCCTTCATCTTCCAGGGTTCGGGCCCCTCCGACCTCCAGAGCCCCACTCAAGCATTGCTTCCCTGAGCAGATAAGTGCCCCAGGGGGGCCCACATCATCCACTCCTCTCACTGCAGCATGGGCCAATGAGTGTGTGACATTTCTTCACGGACTACTGGATGGCTTCGTACACTGGCCCCTCGTGAGGATGACACATGCCTGACTTGCAGGCACAGACTGGGTGAAGGGATGGCCCCTGCCTGGGCCAGGCACATTCCCTCCTGTGTCTCCCTCCAGGCTTCCATGTCTGGTGGGACCCTCTGTGTCCAGGGCCATCATGTGTGAGCAGGGCAGGCTCGTGGGGTAGCCAGTGATTGCAGGCAGTGTGGGTTTGGGTGTTCCTATGGACCCTGGGCCAGACGGGTCTGAGAGGGAGCCCTGAGGGACCCCCAGCCCTGGGGCTTGAGCTCACCTTGACCTCATCTGTAATCATCATGGCGTCCTGGGACATGACTGTCATGTCTGACAGTTCTGAGCAGTAGTCGCCCACCAGATTCTGCAGCTTGTCCAGCTCTGTGGGGTATCCTACCAGCTCCTACAATGAACGGGGCAAGGGCAGGGGTGCCCGGTGGCTCATTTGGTTAAGCGTCCAACTTGTGATTTTGGCTCAGGTCCTGACATGATATTGAGCCCCATGTTGGGCTCTGTGCTGGGTGTGGAGCCTGCTTAAGATTCTCTCTCTTCTTCCTCTGCATCCTCCCAACCCCTGTGCGCGCTCTTTCTCTAAAATAAATCTTAAAAAAAGAAGGGGCAAGAGCAGAAACTGATGGCCCAGGGGCTACGGGCCAACCAGATGCTGCCCTTCCAGAGTGGACCATCCCTGCCCCAACTCCTTACCCCGGACTGTGCGAGCCCTGAGGACAGTGATGGGGTGTCCCACTGTGTGAGAGGTGACTGCCACCCAGGGAGCCTGCTGCTGTCTGAAGTGAAGCAGGGAGGCTCAAAACACAGATGTGGGGTCAGAGACTCAGGGCTCAAGGCCAAGGCTGCCCTGACCAGCTGGCTGTGGGAACTTGGGAAAGCCACTTAACCTCTCTGAGTGTCCCCATCTATTGATAATGGTTCTTTCGGAAGGCAGCTGTCAGAATCTATTCAGAAGGTATAATGAGGTATTAAGCTCAGAGCCAGCTTCATAAATATCCAATATATATGACTGTTAGTACTTTGCTGTTAATAACTACAATGTAGAATCTTTGCTAGTTTTTTAAAAATACAGATGACCATGGGAGTTATTTTTGAAAAATGCGTATGTTCTGGGGGTGCCTAGGTGGCTCATTCGGTTAAGCATCCCACTCTTGATGTCAGCTCAGGTGTTTATCTCAGGGTCGTGAGTTCAAGCCCTGTGCTGGGCTCCATGATGGGCATGGAGCCTAATTTAAAAAAATGTGTATGTTCTGAAAAGAGCATGCCCCTGGGGGGACAGAATGCTCCCAAATGAAGGGGGGCTGGACCCAGGAGTACAACTGGAGGGGGAAGGGGTGTGAGGAGGCGGGTCCAGGAAGGCAAGGTGGCAGGGCCTCCGTCTGGGTCTCTAGGAACAGGGTGCTGTGGCAAGAGGGACAGGAAGGAGGACCATGGTGGCCTGGCTCTGTGGGCTATGGGCCGAACCTGGAGGGCTGTGACTCCAGCCAGGAGGAAGGAGCTGCAATGCCTACCCACCCCACCCTCCTCCCAAACCACACTTGCACCTGTTACCTGCCCTCCGGGGCTCCCCCTGTGCCAGCCTCAGGATGAGGGAATTGGGAGAACTTCCTCACTCTCCCTGCCCCGCCTGCCACAATGCTCCTCGCAGCACCTCGCAGCCCTCCTGTCTTCTGGTCCTCCTCCTCCTCATGGAGAGGCCCTGCCTCCCAGCAG